GGACGAAGCGTGGGACTAGGGGACGGAACATATCTTGACCGGATGCAAGGAGCGGAAGATGCTACAGTATTGTTGGACCGTCCCCCTCCTGAACCGTCGCCATGGAGTGCAGGAGAGTTGAGGTTTTGCAAGCAGTATTTTAATTTTACTGTTTGCTTGCTATTTATTTTTCAAGATCAGACTGTTTATTTTTCTGTTGGTTACTTTTATTATTGTAAGATTCTTGCATAAGGATTGGGTGACGGGAGGTCTGCTTTAACCGTCGTTGGCTCATTTATGCCAATTATAGGATCAGCGAGTTATATTGTTTTTTTGGAGGTGATTGACTCTAAGTCTAGTTCGAGGGCTGGCGATTGCCTGTGGTCTTTTGTCGTTTTACCCCATATCTGAATGTTGTGATATCAATTTAAGCCATCTGTTTTAAGGATAAGAAAAAAAAAGTAGGAGATTTATTGGTGGGACTAAGACTATTATTCACCTCATTTGTCATGTGTTACGTAGTAAATACTTCTTGCCTAAGCCGCCATCTCATTCAAACGCTAGTTCCACTTTCCTTTTTTGGACGTTCCACTTAAAGGTTCTTACTTTTTATTTTAGGACACAATTAACACTCTTAAATACTCATTTAATCATCAATGATTAAAAATAATATATTTACAACATCACAATTATCATCAATAACTCAATATATTATATACTCATCAAAATAATTTATCAAAATATACTCCAATTACCATATTTAATTATTGTCTAAATAAGCACGTCATTTTGTCATGGGAACCTATAAACGGGACGAAGGTAGTATTATTCCAAGAAAAAACTCGGTAAAAATGTTACTGAAGCAGAAATGAACTAAAATGATAACAATAAAGTACAAATACATAGTACCCCCCTCCGTCTCGGAAACAAGTTCTCGGATTGACTTTTATACATTTTTAGGAAATAAATTTACTGAGGGGTAAATTTTACTATTTTGACACTGTTTCGACACTGTTTGGCACTGCTTGACACTGTTTTAATGTAGATAATTTGCCAAATAAGGAAGTGGGAAGTTTATTTTGGGACATCTAAATAAGGAAAGTGAGAACTTGTTTTCGGGACGGAGGGAGTATTAGATATCATTTATTTATTTATTTATTTATGTATTTATTTATTTATTTATTTATTTATTTGTATAAATACGTAGTATAATATTATTATTTTTGAAAATTGAAATTTTATTTTTAATTCAAGTCCGAACATCTTATTCAAGCTTAAATTTATACTCCGTAATACGAAGTAACTAATTAGCTCGTGTATTCTTACTAAGTTTAAGATCATGTCAATATTATTTGGCCCGTGCATTATTATCAAGTACGCAGCTCAAGCTTAAGCATTCCCACATTGAAGTTCGGTTAGGCTCATTTGCAATCTATCTACTACTATCTTCGTCCAGATTTAAGGTTCTCATTATAAATTGGCATTACTATTTAGACAATAATTTTGATTAGTGTATATAAGTTTATTGAAATAATGGCACCGATATAACCTATCAACTTGTACTGAACAAAAATATGACCACAATTTAAAAAGACACAAATATGACCGCAGCTCTTCCGCTTTAATTTTAACGTTAAACCTCCCGTTTTCAACTTTATCTATTCCGCACAGCTCCAATTCAACGCAGCTCTCCCGTCCACTTCCGCATGGCTCCTCCAGCGCTAAAGACTCCAGATCTTCAATCCCAGCCCGCCGCCTCCGATTCCAGGCCGTCGCCTCCGATTCCGTGTCACTGCATCCAAGTTGTCATCCCCAGTCGTTCCCATCGTTCTTGTACACCGCAGTTCCCATCGTCGTCTCCACGCCCCCTGTTCTGTTTCTTCTCTTTCTATTCGATTTTGGGGGCTTCATCTATGTCTTTAACACTTAGAGTTTTAGATCTGAGATGGGACGATCTGAATCTAAATCGGTGGGGCTAGGTTTTGGGCTATTGGCAGTGTATAGGGGTTAGGGGAAAGGGCTAGGTAGGGGCGGCGATGGCCTGTGTAATCAAGTGCTGGCGGTGGCAGGGGAGTTTGGGGGTTGGGGTTGGGGGCTGCCGGTTGGGTTTAGGGGCTGGCGGTTGGGTTTAGGGGCCGAGGGATGCGGCGAATCCGGTGGTGTGGGGCAAGGGTTGTGCGGGTGAAGCGTGGGTAGGCTGATGGTTGGCTCACGGCTTGGCTGATGGGTGGGGCAGGGAGGCAGAGTGCCGCGGGGACACCGCGGCTGTGGTGGCCGGCCGTGGTGGTGGTCTGTTTAACCGACGGGGTGTCCATTTCAGTTAGGTGGGCCGCGTCGCTAAACGAAAATGACCATAATGACATGTTTCACGACAACAGTGACACGGACGGTGGCTATAATGACACGAGCGGTGACTATAGTGACACCCAAAGTGATGACAGTGACATTGTATAGTGACGTTAAAATTGGACACCGATAGTATGTTTTTACAAATATACTGTATTACCTTCTTAGAAGTTGTTCTCTTCACCTGATTTGAATGTTTCTGATCTGAATTTTTTAAGTTCTGATCTGATCTGAATTTTTCTGATCTGATCTGATCTGATCTGAATCTTTCTGATCTGATCTGAATGTTCCTGATCTGATCTGAATGTTCCTGATCTGATCTGAATGTTCCTGATCTGATCTGAATATTTCTGATCTGATCTGAATCCTTCTGATCTGATCTGAATTTTTCTGATCTGATCTGATTTAAATATTTGTAAAATTATAATTACAATTATAATTACTATAATTATAAATGTAATTACACATATATAATTTAAATATAATTATAATTATAATTATAATCATAATTATAAAAATTATAATTATAATTACAAACATAATTATAATAAGTATAATTATTATTATACGTATTACACTAGTTATAAATATAGCTATAATTATAATTGTAATTATATTTATAGTTTTATTTATTTCTATAATTATAATTTTAATTATAATTATAATATTTATTTCTATAATTTTAATTGTAATTACTTCGTATAATATGATAATAACGAAAATAAAACTAATAACAATAACAACAACAACAACCATATTAGTAGTAAGAATAATTATAATCATGATGATAATAAATATCATAATAATAATAATAATAATAATAATAATAATAATAATAATAATAATAATAATAATAATAATAATAATAATAATCATAGTAATCATAGTAATCATAGTAATAATAATAATAATAATAATAATAATAATAATAATAATAATAATAATAATAATAATAATAATAATAATAATAATAATAATAATAATAATAATAATAATAATAATAATAATAATAATAATAATAATAATAATAATAATAATAATAATAATAATAATAATAATAATAATAATAATAATAATAATAATAATAATAATAATAATAATAATAATAATAATAATAATAATAATAATAATAATAATAATAATAATAATAATAATAATAATAATAATAATAATAATTATAACAATAATAACAAGAATAATAACAATAATAATAACAATAATAATAACAATAATAATAACAATAATAATAACAATAATAATAATAATAATAATAATAATAATAATAATAATAATAATAATAATAATAATAATAATAATAATAATAATAATAATAATAATAATAATAATAATAATAATAATAATAATAATAATAATAATAATAATAATAATAATAATAATAATAATAATAATAATAATAATAATAATAATAATAATAATAATAATAATAATAATAATAATAATAATAATAATAATAATAATAATAATAATAATAATAATAATAATAATAATAATAATAATAATAATAATAATAATAATAATAATAATAATAATAATAATAATAATAATAATAATAATAATAATAATAATAATAATAATAATAATAATAATAATAATAATAATAATAATAATAATAATAATAATAATAATAATAATAATAATAATAATAATAATAATAATAATAATAATAATAATAATAATAATAATAATAATAATAATAATAATAATAATAATAATAATAATAATAATAATAATAATAATAATAATAATAATAATAATAATAATAATAATAATAATAATAATAATAATAATAATAATAATAATAATAATAATAATAATAATAATAATAATAATAATAATAATAATAATAATAATAATAATAATAATAATAATAATAATAATAATAATAATAATAATAATAATAATAATAATAATAATAATAATAATAATAATAATAATAATAATAATAATAATAATAATAATAATAATAATAATAATAATAATAATAATAATAATAATAATAATAATAATAATAATAATAATAATAATAATAATAATAATAATAATAATAATAATAATAATAATAATAATAATAATAATAATAATAATAATAATAATATCAATAATAATATTAATTATACTAATTACAATAACAACAACAAGAATAATAATTATAATTATTATAATTATTATAAATATTATTATAATTATTATTATTATAATAAAAAGGATAAATCATGTATGAACTTTTCTGATCTGATCTGAATGTTCCTGATCTGATCTGAATCTTTCTAATCTGATCTGAATCTTTCTGATATGATCTGATCTGAATCTTTCTGATCTGATCTGATTTGATCTGAATAAAATAAGAATAAGCAATAAGTAATAAGATTAAGACGAACAGAACAACACCTTAGTCACTTTTTGCCTTTTTGAAAAAGTGGTCACATTTTAAGAAAGTGGCTTTAATTTAGTAATATTGAAGGCAAAAACCCAAGTTTATTTACTATAATAATGATGTTATAGATGTACGTTGTATTACTTTTAGTATTTCATAATTAATTTATCATTTAAAAGTGTTAAATATTTTAATTCAGAAGTTAATATCGTTGGTGCGGTTACATAAGAGAGAGGGTAGAGACAACTCAAAGAACCTGGTGGCCAGTGGCCACAGCTGATGAAGATTCCAATATTTGACCCACCCTTTTCCAAAAATTAAAAAACAATACATAAAATATTATTATTCCCCTGAATAAATTGAACTTCTTCCTCTCAACTTCCTTACTCCAACTTCAATTCAAACTCCTTCCTCCAAACACATATGTATATATATACTCTTTATAATATATAGCCACCATAGTATAAAAACCCCATCTTTCAACATAAACCAAACGTGACTTCCAATTCGGCGTTCCAGAAATCAAGCTGAAGAAGATGGGATTGACCAAAGATGAAAACAGAGTTGTAAGATGGATCAAAATTGTCTTCTTCCTGACCTCAATGCTTATTTCCCTCGTACTCTTATCGGCGCCGGTAGTTCTGGTGGTCGCCGACGCCCTCTTGCCCTCTGCCTTGCTCTCGGCGTCGCTGTCTCCGGCGGCCACCGTTTCTCTCCGGTCTCTTTCATCCCTACTAAGCAACTACGACTTCCAGTCTTCCCTCATCGACATACCCATCATCTCCATCGTCCGCTCCACCATCATCTTATGTAAGTACAAATTTGGGATTTTTTTAATTTCTTTTTTGGGAGGCTATTTTGGGGATTCGAAATATGACGGCGGCTGTTTCTTGTGGCGGCAGTTGTTTACAGCTTGTGCGACGGTCCGAGGTTGTCGAGGGGCCCGTATTTGGGAATCGCGACGGCCTGCTCTGTTTCCTCATTGGTGTTTCTGTCGCTGAAGGCGTCGTACGTTTTTGGGAACGGTCGGAGATGGACGAGCGGCGGCGGAGGGTACGGCCGGAGCATGGAGATGGCGCTGTTTCTGTGTTCTTTTTCCATGGCGGTGGCGCACACGGTGGTGGCTTATAGGATTAGTTGCAGGGAGAGGAGAAAGCTTCTTGTTTACAAAATCGACATTGAAGCTGTAAGTCTCAATTTTCTATTAATTCTTTCTTTTCCCATTATTATTTCCTTTTTGTCCTTCTAGTCCCAAATAAATTGGAAAATTTTGTAGGTAGTATACTATCCCGTAGTATAGTACTCCCTCCGTCCCAAAATGGTTGGCCAATGTTGACTTGTACGTGGATTAATAAAGTAAAAACTGTGTGGTTGAAATTTGGACAGAGGAGAGAGAATTAACTTTAGCCACATATTGCTTACTTTAAATGGAAATGACCAACCTTTTTGGGACGGCCAAAAAAAAGAAATTTGGCCAACCATTTTGGGACGGAGGGAGTAGTATTAGTCCTCCATCAGTCCATTCCGTTCAACTTTGACAACTTTTTTTATCTCACAAACTCACTACTTTCTAAATGAATAAAGGGTCATATTGGTCCTCAAAGTTACATAAAAAAGGTCAAATAAGTCCTTATATAGGAGGCTCTGTCCGGCCGTCGCTATTTGAGAAATGACAGTTCTCGGTGGAATTTTTTAATGAAATTTTTTTAGCATCTTATTCATTAAGTCTAGTTTACTCATACCAAAGTTTAGTTCTTTCATTCACAACCCCACAAAAGGTGACAATTCTCATTTTCGCCGTCGCCGCATCTCACGCAAAAATATATTGAGGAGAGAGACCAGCGATTTAGAGAAGGGATAGAAACGAACAGATAGGTGTATTAAAAAATGGGGAGAAGAGTATGAACTTGCACATCACTTTTTTTTGCTAAAAAGGGAAATGGTAATATCATTTTGGGACACCCCAAAAAGAAATAAGGTACCATCAAATTGGAACGGAGGAAGTACTTAGTATATCTTTTATATGTTTAATTCTTTAATCACCTCTGTGCAATATGGCTATGAATTGTAGAACTTTGTACTCCAATTCTAATCACCTCCTTGCCTATTCTTTTTTTATTTTTAAAATGAAGTTACTCAAGGTCATACTGTCATAGTGAGACATTAATTACATAACAGACAAATTGTCAAAGTCATGCTAAATAAGTTTAAATTTTTGTTATTTTTCCCATCATGACATCACAAGCTTACAGAAATGAATTCCATCCCAAAATTATAGTCAAATGTGAAAATATAAAATCTTTATTCTTATGTTGTTATAACAATATATGTTTCATATTTGCTAACACAAGATTATAAAAATTAATTGATTAATTTGATTATGTGTAAAATATTTAAAACATACATCATATTTTGATATTTTACTTTAGAGACAAATAAAATTCTTTCTATAATATGATCTTTATACATTTAATAGCTAAATTACAACCAATGTAGAGAGGTACAAAAAAGATTTGGGAAGGATAATATTTTTTGAAAAAACATCGTCAACATAAACTCTTTTCCACGTAGATTTTGTTGCAACCAATCAAACGGGAACAACGAATTGTAGGGAAGAAAAAGGTCAAGAATGTTTTGGGAAAGAAAAAGTCAGAATCGCCAACTTGGTACATATGAGGCTATGGGTCATATCTCATACCCCACTGGTTGATGGTTTGTACCAAGTGCTTGACGATTTGCAAATTTGTAAACCCTGTCCATGTGCTATTTCCCTATGCCACAAGTTTTCCAAGAATATAAAATCCAAATATTAATCGAATTAAATCACATCCATAAAAAGATATCTAAAGTACAAACCAGCTATATATGATGGGGAACAACAAAATAATAATGGCAAACTAGTATTATGATTGGTAATGTTTTTTTTCATACAATAATGGTATTGTTCCAAAAGGTGGAATACCTCGCCCCACGAGTCCCCACACTTCAACTCGACAAAATAGTAGAAGAGTAAGTCATGCTGACAGAGTCGGACCAATGGTGGTAGGTCTTATACCAATGCGCACCAAAGGTCCAGCCCAGCTTTCGATCCTGGATTATGACCGTTGCAGGTTTTGATGTTTGATCATTGTTCCAAATTTCCCACCACTGAATCAATTGAGCTGCTCATGCCGATAACCATATAATAATTGTATGCTCATATAGAATGGTACTGGTAATTGACGCGGAGAAAACGGGCTTATTTTCTAGATCAATTATCAATTCTTTGAAAAAAGAAATTTAGGGAACGGTCATATTTTAGTCAATAAGCATCTACCAATCGAAGGACGTTTCACACCATAGCATCTTGGGTCTCTTTTTCAAAATAAATGTGCCGTCAAGAACAATTCAATGGAAAAGCTTTGACTTTTTACATCTTTGAAAAGTAAAAACAGATATCAAATTAAAGTCTTCTAGAGATAAGTAACTAGCTAGGGATTGGAATTTTCTGGTTGAGCATTACGTTTGTCTTTCTTCCCCAACTACTCATCAGAATTCAAGTCTAATTGAGTAATTGATGGTCCTCACTTGGCGGTTGTTTTGAGGCGAGAAGTGTACACAAATAAAATAATTACATATTTATGACTAAAATATACAATACGTGATAATTTGTTTGTAAAAATGTGATTGTATAATTGTTACGGTAGTAATAACTTTAGTTTTAACCAAAAAATAGTTTTAACCCGACATATTAGTACGGAGTATTATTTACGAAAGTATACTCCCTAGTTTTTAACCAAAAACTTCAAAAATGTCAAGTCAAAAGGGAATAATATTGAAGCTTGGAAACAGAGGAATCTTAACCGTCTTATCTTAGAATAAACAAATCAAGAAGACTAATTAATAACGTGGGTCGATATAGGGTAGCCCACCTTTGCCCGGACCTACCATAAGTTTTGCAAAGATTTTTCAATTATAAAACTTTGGATTTGTTAGCGTTCATAGTCGTGATACTATTTCGTGAGCAGCCCTTTTATGACTCGTCTTTGAGTTTCTTTCGTTTTCGATCTTTATTTTAATATATCCACTTTAACTTTTAAATTGTTATGACAACGGCACATGTTATAGACGTATAGCAACATTTTTATCGATCACCTATTGTGGTACAATATAATTACGGTTAAAGGGCTAAAATTCTTATTTTCATAGTGTTAACCGTTAAGTACTTGGAGAGGAAAAACAACACATAATGCTATTGACATAAAAGTGGAATGAACAATGAACAAGTGACAAAAATTGAGTTAGTTTTTCGACCCATCCAAAATTGTAAGATTATGTAGGTTTGGGATAGATGTTTTTATTTGGTCTGTTTTCAGTTTCATATTAGATCAGACTAAACTTATACAGATCAGGTCATACCCCACCAGACTAGACATAATCAAAATATACTTAATCAGACTTTTATATTTATAAAATAAAGGGAAAATGGAAATTAATAATCCAACCTTTTAGCGGTCTTCTTACAATAATCCAATCTTTTAGTTATTCATGAATAATCCAACCTTTGCACCTCATCTTCATTCACTGGTCCCTGACCGGTTGATGACCTGCTATTCCAAGCTATTTTCTTATCTTTGCAAATTATTATACCACAAATCTCATCTTTCACAAAGATAATATTTTGCAAAGATAAGAAAATAACTTGGAATAGTAGGTCATTAACCGACCAGGAACCAATGAATGAAGATGAGGTGCAAAGGTTGGATTATTCATGAATAATCAAAAGGTGGGATTATTGAAAGAAGACCGCTAAAAGGATTATTAGTTTCCGTTTTCTCTAAAATAAATAAATTTCCGTACAAGTGAAAACATTATTGGTATTGTGGAACCAAAACTTTGATGGAGATAAGTATATGTCTATTCACTTTGATAAGTATATGTCATACGTAGTATTCACTTTGATCTTGATTGGAAGGCCCATATCTTATCACCACTCAAAATATCAAATAAATATATTCTCGTACGCATTAAAAAGTATTGCTAAAATAGCACTTCAGGATACTTTCGTACTTAAAAAAGAAGTAGTAATAATAATATAATAATCCGTAGTAATTACTCCGTATATGTTAGCTCTATAGCATAAGATAATGTGAAATCCCCCATTATTGTAATTTCTAAACACGCTGTTTAATTGCTTGCTATTCGAATTACAGGTTTCTGCTTGCAAGAAGGGATTCTCAAGATATCCCAAAGTGCTCCAAGAAAGAACAAAGTAGTAACAACCAAACCTGCACAGTTTTTTTTTTGGCATTGGACCAAATCCGGTTTTCCCTACTCGGATTTTAGGTAAGCTAAGATGAAGCAAAATATTGATTTACTTGCAAAAAAGGCAAGTTTGGGCATTTGGTTATGTGACTAAAGGTAGTAACATTTTTGTAGGTTCATTCAAAAAGAGATGAGTAGCTCAAGCGAGTGAAGACATGTGCTTGTTTTATTTAATGTAAATATATGTATTATAAGTGGGATGAGATCATCTCTCTGAGGTAGCTAGTGTACCTAAGCCATGTGTATGGAAAGTGCATAATGCAAGCTTGTGCACCATCATTTTTAGTATATATGATGAGGATAGATGATGTTGCATCACTCTGATCCACAATATTATTTTTAGTATATATGATGAGGATAGATGATGTTGCATCACTCTGATCCACAATATTGTACAGTTCTTTTCTCTTTCACTTTTAAATTAATACAAAATTGGCTAGTGATTTATGGCCCAATTTGTGTGTTACAAGTTACAACTGCTGAAATTGTAGAGAGGTTAGATCGCTGAAATAACTAAAACAAAAGTGTTTGCCAATACTTGTGCTGATTGGGTTTGTGTTTAACAAAATGAATGTGTGTTTGAGATAGAGCACGACAAGAAAGTTAGATGAGCTAATAATAAAACAAGGTTGTGAGGATGTTATTAATTAGATTGAATTTTTTTTAATGGGTCTGGTTTGGTGTGATGGTTTGATGTAGTCTATTTCAGTCTAATATGGTCTTATCTTATTTGAACTGGCCTTATAGATGTTTGGTCAGTGTGTATCTTACAACTGTCAAAATTTGGTTTGGTCTGACTTGTCTGAGTCGGGACCCATCTAATCTAATCTAGTTTGATATGTTTAAGTTTGGTTTGCTCTAGGAAACTCATCCAAGTAAGAACATCCTAAATGTCATTTATCTCATATAATAAAATCAGCCCGTTTGGTCACTTGATGGGTATCTGGTATTTTACGTATTTGGAGGCTTACTAGCTCAAGCCCAACCTCCACATCACAAATACTAAGAAACTTAACTGTGCACACATTGTTGTAAAAATCTCACCCCAATGCCTATGATTCCCCTAAACTAAAATTGAAAATTTTAAGTCGATCGAGAAATTAATTAATTCTTACAGAGAACAAAGTTTAGATTGTAAATAAAGTAATAAACTTAATAAACAGACAATGTTTTTTGTTTTTGAGAATTCACCACGTTTTTTTAAATGGAACATTGGATGAACTGCCCTCTTTCAATACTTCTTTTTCCTTTCAACCTGCGTGACTACCTAACCATGATGTATTAGTGGGGTTGGCCTGGCCTGCAGCTGACCAATTGTAGGTCAAGAACATGACTTCAATTTATAATCGGACATTAATTTTTATTACCCAAGAAAAAGAAATTGCCAACTGAAGATATTGAATTTCTATATGCTTTATAGTTTCTACACTAACGCAGTAAGGCATGAGACTTAAATAGATTAATTACAAAGTTGAAGTTTCTTATTTCCGCAAAACGTTATAGAAAACTTCCTTCGTGCCTCTTTTTCCTTTTACACAAAGCGTTACTAAGATGATCGTGGTCACAGATCATTTTTGATAATATTAAATATAGTTTAAACTTTTAATTCATTTCTATTTTATTAATAATTAATAGAATTCAATATCAACTCCTCTCATCGTATTATTGAACTTTCCCAACTTTTCTTTTTTTATTTGTTCCAAAAAATTGTCACTTTCCTATTAAAGCGACAAATTTGTAACTCTATTCACTTCTTTCTCTTATTCACAAATTTTGATCACACAATTTTTACTATTTTCATTTGACAAAATTGAGTTGGATAAAGTTATTCTACATTTCTTATAATTGTCACTTTCTCATTTTTGAGTATTAGTGGGATGGTGGATGTATGTGAATAGCTTGAAAAGGCTCACTTTTGGTTCGAAATATTGCACGTAGCATAAAATTTTGTTACTTAAGTTTTATTAACATTAGGAAATTAGGAATCCAATTGAAATTTAGTTTTACTACTACGTATTGTATTGCGTCTGCTTAGCTTTCACCGCTACCGTGCTCAAATATTGTGAGTTTATGACCAAACGTCAAAACCTGTTTGCTTTATCACCTATTCGACCTTATATATAACACATTTTGCTCTATGTACAAGACACTAAACTCTAAAGAGTGCCTAGGCATTTTAATTTTACATACACCAATAATTTAGGGGTGGGTCAAGAAATCTCAATTCAATTGAGTTTGAAAAGTAATTATACTAGATTTAAATATTAATGGATCGAGTGAGATGAAAAATTATGTTACCTATACCCTAACTATCAGTGGCGTCCATAGGGGGAGTTTGGCCAGGCAAATGCCTAGGGCCTCACTTACCAAGAGGGCCTCAAAACAAAAACCTATTATTATTAGTATAGGCATTCTTCTGCAGTTCGACACTATGGCAGATTGGGGAGGGACCGAGGGAATGACCAAGACAGTAAGACCATTCCAAAGAGCGTAGAAAAGAGTTTATTTGACAAAAACAGGTACATTGGCGCCACGCATAAGAGAAAGAGGGAATTAGTTGTGGGACCTTTAACAAAAAATCCCCACATTTTTTTAAGCTTTATAATTTATTTATTTATTTGTTATCCATTTTAATATAAAAATATATCAATGTTCATAATTTTTCGAGATCTTCAATATGACATCAATATTGCATATATAAATTGAAAAACACTAAAGTTATAATTACTGAAGTTATAAAGTTCTAAAACTAGAGGGGATTTTTTTAGGGTGACACAATTGAGTTTCTAAAACATACACGTTTTGGAAGAGAGTACTCGGAACATACACTGTATTGTCAAATACCCGCATTTAAAATCTTATAATATTAGAAATATTATATGGTACATTTTGAATATGTTTTTTCTATATGGTGTCTCTTACTCAATTTATCTCTTTTTAATATGATTTTTGCGTGTTAAAAATATTTTTCTGCCTAGGGCCTCCAGAATGCTAAAGACGCCCCTGCTAACTATTCACCCACCGCAATGCAGCTTTTATAAATGAGATATTTCATATTTGCATTTGGTCTTTTGGCATGCCACTTAAGCGCCGTATAGCATATGGCAAGTTGTACCAAATTATGATTATTATGGATAAACAAAAGGTGTCAAATAATATACTTCCTCCGTCTCTAAATAGTTGCAACACTTTCCTTTTTTGACAGTTTCAAATTAATTGCAACATTACTTTTTTAGTAAACAAAAATAAGTAGAATGCCTTTAATACCCCTAAGTAATTCATACGAAAGTAATTTGTATCTATCTTTTCTATTTCTTCTCCCCCAATGATCTGACATCCCTCTCTTCTTTTAATTTCTAGCCTCCACTCATTCACTTATCTTCTTCTGTATGCCGTATCTTTCTTTCTAATCTAAAGAGACCTAGTGTACTGTATATGGACTAAATTTTCGCTAGATGCTCCACTACGACGACGGTAATGACCAATCGAAAAGGTCATAAAATCGAACTCCCTCCCATCATTACAAAGCCCACCATCAACCATTAATGAATCTGCGAGAATCAAAGGCGGACCAAACCAGCCATGCAAACGTGGACAAATTCCGATGAATAGAAGTTAAAGAAGAAGAACATCTTGGCGGAAACTTTCGCCGTTGTGAAGACATCCCAGGATCTACAGAGGCACTTCAGACATGTGTAATTAGTGGTAACAAGTGTAATCTCGAAAACAAAAGCAATTGTACTATTGATGTACAGTAACATGTCTGCCACTACCTTTCATTTGTGCGTGAAACTAGGGGTATAGTGGGAAGAAAATTACTTTCTTAATTCTTGTGTCCAGACCCTATGTTGCATCTATTTAGAGCCGGAGGATAGTATAATACAAATGAGGTGATTGAAGAAAAGAGAAAACATGAAACACCCACCACAATATAGCCTGATTGCTAGTACAGAAAGGCTGGAGTTTAGGAATAATTGGAATCAAGACATGCCAGCATTACCAAAAGGAGGAATGTTCAGGTCCGAACATTCCCCGTCCGAGCACCGTCCAAACATGGACGTTTGGGCCACTTCCCGGTGGAATTTTTTGATGAAATGTTTTGAGCATGTTCCTCATCAAGTCTAGTTTGTCCATACCAAATTTCAGCTCAAAATTCGACCGGGAAGGCATTCAAATCATTTTTTGAAGTTGACTGCGTCAAAATGTACATATAAAACGCAGTCAACTTCAAAAAATGATTTGAATGTCTTCCCGATCGAATTTTGAGCTGAAATTTGGTATGGACAAACTAGACTTGATGAGGAACATGCTCAAAAAATTTCATCAAACAAATCCACCGGGAAGGACCCCAAACGAGGATGTTCGGATGGAGGGTCATGTCCGAACGTTCGGACAGGATCATTCTTGTTACCAAAAGAATCCAATCAACCATTATATGCTTAATTGAATTGTGGTACCCAACTATCCAAAGGGTCCTTCACATTCAAGACTTAATTAGGGGTGTTTTGATCTAATTCTTAAAACTGTTTCTGCTCCTTCAGAGAGCAGAAGCAGAAGTTGAAGTGTTTGGGTAAAAGTGCAGAAGTGATTCTGATGCTCTAATTTACTCCTAGAATCAATTTTTCTAGAAGTTGGAGAAGACCAGCTTCTGAAAATTGATTATGATTCTGCTTCTGCTTTAAAAAAGAAGCAAAAGAAGAATCAATTCCAAACACCCCCTTAATATACGGCTCATTCTTAATTTCATATATTACCCCGTTCTCTTTTAATTGTAACATTGGACTTTTTGCACTATTCACATATTCTACTTTGAATATATTTTATTAATTAATGTATTATAAATTAAATTTTTAAAAATTATTGTTAAATTCTTCTCATTCTAAATTTTCAAAATATGATTTTTTTAATTTTTTTTACTAATAAAGAATTAAAAATATTAATAGTCAAACTTGTGTGTTGACAAACGTTAAATGTTGATTGTTGCAATTAAAAAGGAACAAAGGAAGTATTAATTAATGAGATTATTCCCTGTCAATCAATCCTAGAACTCAGCCACAAAATTGGCCCTCCCTGCCCAACACAAAGTCATGCTAATGAAATCTGGATGGATAAGTGACATTAAGATAATTTCAGGCCTTCCGAAAATGTTTTCATTATTTTAGTACTAGTACTATTTTATATCTCACTACCTACTGTCTTTTGTAGTTTGCTTGCCTGATACCCCTTATACACAGACACATACTTCCCCCTTTCTTTATTATTTGTCCCTGACCTTGGACACTGGACACATATTTTAAGAGAAAAATGATATGATAAGTATAGAGTGTGTTGGGTAAATAATAAAGTACGGTAAATGATAAAGTACAAAGGAGAGTATATTAAAAAGAGCTAAGTGATGATAAAGTCGAAAAGAGAGTATATTAAGTAAAGTGATGATAAAGTAGGAAAGAAAAAGTGATTTGTAAAAAGTAAGTGGGGTAAATGTAATAAAAGTGGAGGTATTTTATCAAAAAC